AAATGAAGAAGGGTCCAGACCCGAAACGTCAGCTTCCCTGCTCCTCTGATGCTGCTTGGCCTGCTGTGTTCATCCAGCTCTACACCTTGTTATCTCAGATTCTCCAGCATCAGCAATTCCCACTATCCCATTACCAATATAGTAATTTTGTGTGTTAAGACTTTGAAAAATTGACTTCTTAATCAACAGAGAACATGCATTTTATTAACAATTATGGTTTTTAAATTTTACAATCACTCAATTTTACAGTACTCAATTACGGAGAATTAATTCTGGAAATGTTCTGACTTAAATATCTATCTGCAGACTTCCAAAACAGAAAAATATTATTATCTGCTCAATTTAAAATAACAACAGGAATGTTTAAATCTTTTGCTGAAATTCAAAATACATATCCTTTTAAAAAATTAGCTACAGAAACCCTCCCTTATGCAAGAAACCCACAATTGATATTTGATTTCTCATGTGACACTATTTCATGTAAGTTGCCAGCATGGTGTCTAATGATGTTATACCATAATTGTACAAAATAATATTTTTATACCTTATTTATATTGTAGCCTTCAGGGTTGGCAGTTTCCAGTATGCAAAGGGATCAACTCATATCATTGTTCAAACAAAAAATATGGTTGTACTTATTTTTAGTGATTTTAAACTGGATCTACTATGGATTAACTTTGTTTTAATACTATGGACTCAGGAAATCTGAAACAGAAACAGAAAATGCTGAAAATACTCAGCATCCATGAAAATTCAACATTTTTCTTTCCTTTACTGATCTGCCTACTTTTTTGAATGTTTCCAACATTTTCTACTTTTTGTTCTCAATTGAGATCCTGTTGTCACAGTAAAATGGATCTCAAGGATGGTAAGGAACATGGCACACCTAATCATTTAGATGGTTTAGTAATATATGCTGTGCCAGTTGGTACTATACATGCCTGAAAAAAAGCAAAATCACCATAATTGTTTTTAAGCAGACTGAAAGAGAACCTGAGGAATCATGTAAACTGTTAACTGGAGAAAGAACACAAAGAAGTTTTGACATTTGCATTTATCTGATATTGAGTTCACCAGTAGTTGTACTAATTGGAACTAGATACCTAACTAACAACAAAGGAAATCTGCCATAAAGTATAACCACAAGGTATGCTAAGTTCCTTACAGATGTTCTCTGTAATACAGTGGTGAACTGGAATAAACTTTTTTGGCAATTCAACTTCACGAGATGGCAGAAAACAATACGGAAACAAAATCAAACCAGCATTCCTTATATTACATTATAGATTTACAGGAAAATTTAACAAACTTTTTCTACCACAAAACAATTACATATTTGAATTAAGTTTAGAGAGACATTCTGATTTAGCGAGCTAAATTCTAATTATTCAATGGAAGAAAGTTCTTGACTGCTCTGGGTAACTCAAACAGTTGAGCAGATAAAGATTACTAAGTTTATCTGAACAACTTTGAATAGTTTTGCCAATCATGTAATTTTCTGGCTTAAGTTATAGTTTGTGTCAGTAATTGGCTAGCTTACTACACAGAATGCCTTGCAAAAGGTAGGCATTCCAGCTTGGAAATTGACCAGAAAGCTGTAATGAGATCATTACTTGCAAATCTTTCAAAAGCTTGTGGGATAGAAAATGACAATGATGACACACAACATAGAACTTTATATCCTCTCAACCTGAATCAGGGTAAAACAAAAAGCCCTGAAATTTAGGTAGTTACTGCAAAACATATATCACAATAATAGAGGTGAGTAGCAGCAGTTGGTTACAGGAGTAAAAGGAGGCTGATCCGAAGTTTGGATTCCAGTTAGGGTATTCTGCCAAAAAGAAGAGAAGATATGTAACTCATTTGTTATAACAATGTTAACAACAAAGCACAGATATTTAGAAATATAAGGCACCTACTTCTGATAGCATCCCGTTTTATGTCTCCTAATAATACAAAGGGAAAAACGTAAGTGTAAGTTGCAGCTGAGGTTAAAATACTTTGCCTGGAATTGCCTCGCACTTAGTCAGCTTTTTCAATTGTGAAAGTTTCAATGCAGGTAATAGCATAAGAAAACAGTGTGATATTTAACTTACTGCATAATTTGTCACGGCAATTGTCAGTGCACGATTCACAAGAAGTACCTGATGTATATGGTAAGGTCCCAATATAATTTCCACTGTAAGAAAAATGGAAGTTGGAAAACAAATTATTAATAGTAACAGCAAGGTGAAAAAACACGAGTAAAATTCTGCATTAAGCTCCCCTCGACATTATCGCAAAAATAAATAACAAAAATAAATCATATAGTAGAAGACAGAATATCGAAAGGTCTCAGCCTCCAGGGCAGAGCAGGAAACCACAAAAAGAGACTTATAACAAAGCTGTTGGAATGAGAAAAAGACAAAAAATAACAGAGATGGAAAATAATACAAAATATAAAATTTTGAAAACAGAAACATGTACACTCATACATACAAACGTTCACGGTTGAAAACCAGCGGATATGTTTTTCAGGAAAACATATGGGAAGATCAATATAGAAATCAGAATAATCAAAAATAATATTTAACAGAGAACTGTGGTGACTCCAGGTCAGTTCAAGTGATGGATAGCCACAGAAAGTGCATCGACATACTTTATAGAGAGCCACCACCTTGAACGACTACTGTGCATAGGGTGTAAGCATACCCAAAGTACCATTAGGAAGGGAGTTACGGCTGGTTTCATTTCTTTTACACTTCATTGAGATTTGGTACAACTGAGTGGTTTGAATGCCTACTTCAGACTGCATTTAAGAGTTGAACACACTGCTGAAAGATTGGTGTCACATGTAAGATTTCTGTTCCTAAAAGCCATTAATGACCAGGCAGATTTTTAAACAACCACGAGACTAGTTTTTTTTTTTTTAAAAATTCCTGGTATTATTAATGGAATTCAAATTCCATCATTGGTGAAATCAAACCCCACCAGCTCTCATGGTCGGATTTGAGTCATTGCCTCCAGAGCAACCTGGGCCTCAGGATTACTAATCCACTGACATTAACAATACACCGTCAACCACTTCCCCACTAAACGCCATTGGTGATGTCCCATAGGTCCCATGGAAGCTTATTTTTGAGTTGTTAACTCTATCCCATTTAGCACAGTGGTGATGCCTGCATAATACAAAGGAGAATATTATCAATGCAAATCATTTATTTCCACTAGGACTGCGCAGTGTTTTGTCCTACTAATACTGTCATGGACAGATATATCTGTGATTGGTATATTGCTGAGCTGAAGGTAAAGCCATTTTTTTCTGTTGGTTCCCTTACCACCAGTCTCAAGTACTGTCTGGAAACTATATCCTTTATGACTCAATCATTAATGGTGCTATTGAGACACTATTGATAGTGCATTTCGAATGTCCCAACTAACAGCACATTCTGTACCTTTGCTACTCTCAGGGGTTCTTCCAAGTGTACAAAAATAGAAAATAGGAGTAAGAAACGATCATTCAGCCCTTTGAACCTGCTGTCATTCAATAGGTTCATGGCCGATCATCCAACTCAGTTCCCTGCTCCCACTTTCTTCCCGAAGCCTTTGATCCCTTTAGCCCTAAGAACCTAATCTAAGTTCTTCTCGAAAATGTTCAATGGTTTGGTCTCAAAACAAGTTGGAGGAGTACTGATTTACCAGCTGAGCGTCCATGTTTAAGATGACATGATGCAAATAGTGATAATGGGGTCTTAAGTTATCCTAATATTAAATATAAAAAGTGGGAAGAATGAAGAGTGAAAAGTATTCAAGTATGTTAAAAAATACCTTGCATGACACAACTAGTAATATTTGTCTAATAACTGCACATACCGATAATAACAACACGCTGTCTCCTGGTACTCAGTCCAATAATCTGCCTTCAATTCAACTTTAGCTAATACAATCTCTTACGAAGGAGTTTATCAAATGTCTTCTGGAAATCCATATAAATATCATCCACAGACAGTTCTTTTCTACTGAATAATCTGTTCAGTCGTCCGTTCCATAATTATAGATGCAATCTCCTGACAGCAAATGTCAGACTAACTGGTCTCCAAGTTCTTAGTTTCCGACTTACCTTTCTTAAAGTATGACTGCACAGTAGTGTTACAACTGTGACCTTGTTTAGTGTCATTAGCACATTTGGAAATATTACAAGTGGTTCCCACATCCAAATCATTTATTTAGATTGTGAATTGTTGTGGATGTAGCAGAGACTCTTGTGTACCTCACACGAAATCCTGAGAATGATCTGCTTATCCTGAGAATGATCTCCTACTCTATGCTTTCTGTCTATAACCAATTTTTATCATCCATTCTAGTAATATTTCTCTCATTCCACACCCTCTAATTTTACTTAAAAACCTCTTGTGAGACATAAGCAAAAGCTAGCTGAAGAGAATCCAAATACACCACATCTACTGGTTCTCCTTTCTCACCCTCAAAAAAACTCAAATAAGTTTGTGAAACATGATTCCTCTATCATAAACGCATGGTGAGTCTGAGCATTTTTGCTACTCTTTCTAAATGTTCAGTTATCATACCATTTATAATAGTTTCTAACATTTTCCTTACTATGGTCGTCAAGCTAACAGGTCTGTAGTTCTCCATCTCTCATATCCTCCTGTCTGAAATAATGGGATTACATTTTCTTGTTCCAGTCAACAGAAATCTTTCTAGAATGTATAGATTTTGAATGATAACCACCAATCCATCCACTATCTCTTCTGCTACCTCTGTCAATGACCTTGGATAAAGCGCATCTGTCCGGAAGATTTATCATGCCTCAATTCAGCCAGTTTTTTCAAATACTACACCTTTACTGATTCTAATATTTTTTTAGTTCTTTGGTTATACAATGTCATCAGTTGCATAGTACTTCTGCCTCATTCTGTGCTGTAAAGTCATGAAGCTATCATGGCTGCTTGCTTCTAAATGCTGACAACTGATGTACTTGTTCTTTTTGTGGCTAATAATCTCTTGAACATTACTGCATATCATTCATTTAGGTCATGGAGCTGATAAAGAACAGTCCTGTTGTCACATGAACATTATTTGACATAATACTTAAGGAAACTGGTAACTAATCCAAGATATTTATCACACCTGATTGATGTTTTCTCAGAGATATTTCTCTAATACATACATACATATTTACCAGGATGACATCACAGATCTTCTGAGAGAGCTCAAAAGGATCCAGCAGCATAAAAATGCCTTTAGATTTCAGAGACTTAGAGATCTACAGCACAGAAATAGGCCCTTTGGCCAACTGAGTCAATGCCGGTCAAAAACAACCACAACTATTTTAATCCCATTTTCCAGCACTTGATTCACAGACTTATATGCCTTGGTATCACACATGTTTCTCAAAATGTTATGAGGGTTTCTTCCTCTACTATCCTTAGAGGCAGTGACTTCCAGATTCCACCACTCTCTGAGTGAATTTCTTTTTCCTCATATCCTCTGCTCTTTACCTGCCTTCTGGTCACTGATCCTTCCATTAAAGGGGAAGTTTCTTCCCTTCTATCCTGTCCTGCCCTTCATAATTTTGTACATCTCAATCATATTCCCCCTCAGTCTCTTCTGCTCCAAGGAAAACAATCCCAGTCAATCCATGACAACAAAGTGCAGGGCTGGATGAACACAGCAGGCCAAGCAGCATCATAGGAGCAGAGAGGCTGACGTTTCGGGCCTAGACCCTTCATCAGAAAAGGGGGCAGTTTCCTTCCCTAAAGGACATTGGTGAACCCTGGTGCAAAGATGCAGCAGTGCTAACAACTGACCCCCCGTGTCACCCCCGAGGCTGGAGATAAAAACAAATTGGATCAAATGAGCAGTTCTGGATCCAATTAGCTAAATTTCCTTGGATCCCACGAACTCTTATCTTCATTATCAGTCCACCATGCGGAACCTTGGCAAAAGCCTCACTGAAGTCCAAGCAGACTTACAAGAGTCTCCTTGGATGTCAAGCCAAAGAACAGTACATCGTCCGGAAACACAGGAGGAATTGTAAATGAAGAATGCCAAAAGCTTTATCTAACATACGCATGAAGTTGACAGGGGCGTTACATTATTCTAGAATGGATAGTTTGGTTATGACCATGGGCCAAATTAGGACTGCAGACACTCTGCCCCTTTAAGAACTTACAATGTCTCCTCAATTCTGGGTAAAAGGCGACCATTCTTGAGTCTTTGTATTGAGTGCCTAGTAATCAACAGGTCCGCAGTTTTACATCTGTCATCCTCATGTGGGAGGCATACAACTCATCATTCTTGAACGACAAAGACTTCTGCAGGTAATTCTAGATTTCTTCCCAGTGATACAGTGGGATCCTGAGGTAAGGAGTCTTCAATGGATGGTTATCTGTCATCACAATCCTCCGTCTTACCCAATCACAATAACTAATCATAGTAATTTTTACTTAAAGTCATCCCACTCTTCACGTGAGCAGAAATAAGCTGCCTCCTCTGAGTCTCCTCCAACCCACCAACGTCCATCATTAAAATGATGTCAGAGATGTCTCCTCCAGTTTAGCCACTGTCTATGACAATGGCACTTTAAGAACATCTACAAGCGTTCTTGGTTGGAGGTAAACAGCTATATTGCTTAAACTAGCAATCTGCATGGGTAACCTAACCTTTTCTCTGACAGATCCATATCCTTCATCGCCTTGTTCAAAGGAACTCCCAAGTCTCGTGAGACAGAGGCAGCTGCCAAAGTTAATCACGCTAACTGCTGCTACCTCCTCCTCCTTGTCCAGTGTCTCTGCTTCATCTTTGGCTGTGGCAGCTAGTGCTGCCCAGGATGTCTTCTTCAAGCCCTCCTTGGAGGTGGCTTGAAGAAGACAGTGATAAAGTTGCTCCGTCAGGGAGCAGCAGGCAAGTAAAAGCATTACTGGAGCTACCATCAGTGAATTTACAAGCCCAGCAAACCAGAGACCTGGATGAAGAAAGAGACATCAATTAGCTTGCAGATCTCAACCAGATGCTCAAGGAACAAATGTTGATCCCATCACCTCTGTATAAATGAAGATACGATGTTTTCACCTCACCAAATTTCACACACGCTTGTAGGACAAGTTCCTATCACTCTACGCAAGTCTGAGTCTCTCCTAGAAGGTATCCCCTCAACTGGCTCTCGGTGGGAGACTCATT